ATATATATATATATATAGATATAGATATATGGGGATCAATTTATCTCGTAGAAATTATTTCGAAACAAATTGCACGCAGTGCTTTGTCTTTCTACGATTGAACATTTTGAAGTCCGAGCAAGTTAACAATTGCAAATTGCGATGCCTTCGATGTTTCGCAACCTCTTATAATAGCTCGTTCGCGAACGATCATCAGACGGAAGTAGCTTTTACATCGGGATAACTGTTAATCTGTTTTCGAACCATTGTAACCAAATCGACTGAAAAAAAAATCAGAAAAGAAATAAGAAGCTGTGGGACTAATTACAAAATTACAGGTAAAAGAGATTTCTAATCTCTTTGTTTTTGTTCTTTTATTTTTTTACGATTATTACTACATTGAAACGATGAAAATTTACAACAGCAGTATATCAATACTGTCTAATTATACATTTCAAGAATTTTATTTATACATTCAGGTTAATTAATTACTGGACTCTGACTCGGATAAAACAGATTATTCTAATTCGAAAGAAAAACGAAGAAAAACGCTGTTAATTCAAAGATATTCAATCATTTGTAAAAGTATGTATTTAATGTATTAAACAGTTGACTTGCATAAACTTTTTTAGAGTATATAACGATTGCATGAAAAGATAATAATAAATGTTTGATTCTAATCAAATCAATGACATGTAATTTGAATCTTAAATCATCAGAGAGTTGGAGTTGACTTGATTGATCAAATAAAAACATTGAGAAAAAAAACAAACTCAGACTCAAAAATCGGGGGAAATCCGCCGGGTTAATCCAGTATAATTTAACTAACACGATGACTTAATAATGATAGTGATAGTATTTAGGACCCTAAATACGAGCAAGCACGCTGTACTCGATCACGGTCTCTCGTTATAAGCATCTGTCTTGTCGATCTTCTTTATTCCTGTCGCGTTCGCTGCACAAATGTATCCACTTTCGATGGCTCTGAATACCAAATGAATTCCGCCGTATCGAACCATAAGATCACCAACACGATCTACGTTCTGCGTACGTGAGCTTGTTTTACAAAATCGTCGGTCCGCGCCGAGTTTCGTCGAAACGATCATCAAGACACGAGACAATCAAACTAGTCAGACTGATCAATTTATAATTTCTCGGACTTGAAACAACGCCTTCTCTCAGAGACTCGAGTGACCAAATAAATGAATGAAAGTTCAATTCCCTGCATTCTGATATTTTCAACTCAGTTTTTATACTTCAGCCCTCGGTAGTTCTAGTGTTCGCCATAATTCGGCAGGCAATTTAGTATCCAAGTTTTCAGGCAAGAGACAATGTGATTGCAACTCTTTTATTAAAGTCAAGAATGTCATTTAGACGTGGTGGAGTCAAAGCTGCAAACGCTTCTTAACGATGGTGCAAACAGTTTTATGGAGTTCGATTGGCTGCAACCGGAGTTGCCGGCGTTCTTCGACGAAAAGAAGTTTCTCCTCGGCCAGCAGATGTTTTATAACAACGCTTTCACCATGATGATTGCCAAACTATGCGGACTGTTATCTTTATTCGCTGTACCATCGATCAAGGACGTTTTAATGTTCACCAGACAGAGTGGCGTACGGTGCAACGCGTTCCGCAGATACGTGTCCACCATTTTGCACAATTGGGTCTGGTATGGGAAAATGGCCGGCGTAGAAAAAGAGTAAGTAGATGCGACATATTATTTATTTGAGGGACATCGTCTCGCGAGAGGAAGATACAAAACACGAAAATTGCAAAAAATCCAAATACATATTTTATCTTTCTTTTTTTTTCATCAGAACTGAATTGAATCATGATAAAGATAAATCGACGTAAATCACCTGCACTGGCCGAAAGCATTTCTTGACAAATTGTTGTTCGAAAGACAGGAGATTTGAAGATCTGCGAAATTTTGAAAGCTCCAAAGATTTTCGCAGGATAAGATAACAATGTTAATCATGTTCGAAGTCAGTAGCTTGCTAATCCAGTCTCGTGGAAAACGCGAAACGTGTCAAGAATAACGTTTTCCTTTAAATACATAAGTTTCTATTTTTGTCTATTTTGTCGCTACTAATAGCAATGGCACGTTGACCATTGTTTATCGTTAGATTCACGCCTTGAAAGAGATGAAGAAACCATTGGTTAGGCGTACGCAATGTGCATCGAGAAATGTTGATTCTCCGACGATTCTTCGCACGAAAATACATCGACCGAAAACACACAGTTCATTGGTATTCTCTTGATTATTGGATTTATCTCGCCCATGTGGTTGAACAAATTGATTAGTTTTCTGTCTGGGAAAATCCGAGATATTTTGTCGATACATTGTCACATACTTTCCCCAATGAAATTCGGATTTCCCATTCATTCTCAGTAGGATCTATCGCGAGAACAATTGTTCCAATCATTCGTTTTCCTGTTTTGCAGATTCCTCGACTCGTTGAGAATCGTGCGGAAGAAGCACTGTGTTGCGTTTCGAAGAAGCTCGGAGGCCGGATTGAACAGAGTCTCGCAGCTGGATATGGCACTCGCTCAATTTGGATTCATGGGTTTTACCCTGCTGTCTGGTGACTATCTTGGGGTGAACAACAGTTCCGAGGAACTCGATGGACTGGTTCATTTCTGGCGAGTCATTGGCAGTATGCTGGGCATGCAAGACAAGTTTGTAATCCAAGCACTTTCTCAAATTTAATCTGAAAATTAATTTTAAGTTACAATTGCTTCTTCATAAAAGTGATGAGAAAAGAATTCATACAAGTTGAATGTTTAATATTGATACTATTAACCCTTTGCACTCCGCTGTCGCCGCAGAGGCGAACTGTAAGATAAGCTACTACTCCGTTGTCGCCTCAGCAGCGACATAAAAAAAAATATTATTTTTTTGAATTTAAATATTCTTTAGTTTTTCTTGGAAGCCTATACTGTTAGTTTGTATAAATAATTGTATTAAAATTATTATCATTTTTTATTTTTATTTATTGTACTTTTATATATTTTTTTAATTATATTGTATTAATACATATCTTTAAAAATGTATTCACATTTTTTTTTTTAATGACAAAGCAAGATTTTCAATATAATAAATAGTCTGGAGTAGCTGGTAGGTTATATTGAAAATTGTTCCGAGTGCTAAAGGGTTAATAATAACTGTTATTAGGCATTTTCGTGCTAGAATAGTCCTTTAAAAATGATAGTTAAATACATCTTGTATATAGGTACAACATTTGCACGGGGAACGTCGAAGAGACGCGTGCTCTTTGCAGGCGACTTCTAGACCAAGTCTTCCTCCCCTCGCTCGTCAGTAATAACAAGGATTTCGAAGAGATGAGCCGTGTTGTGTTAGAATCTCTATGGCCCGTGAATCCTTATATAGATCCAAATGCTTTCATCAAGTTCACATTCATTCTGGCCTCCAAAGCCGCCACGAATAATAACCATTCGTTAGAGATAGGTAAATGT